CGCTTGCTGCGTTCTCGTCCCAGGAGAAGAGGCGACGCTGGCTGTGCACGGAAGCCCTTTCGTGGTGACTGGGGACGGACTGAGTGGAGAAGGGGTTGGTCACGTGGCCGCACCGAAACACGAAGAGATGCAGGGAGGGATGCCCTTCAGGCGAGGTCGTATCGAGAGATGTTGTGACGCGCGCAGACTTTCCAAGCGCACGTTTTGGAACAAGAGGCGCCCCTGAAACCTCCAACCCATTTCAAAACGCTTGTTTTGAAACAAGAGGTGCACCTGAACATCCAGGCCCTTTTCAAGAGGCTCCTGAAACCTCCAGACCCATTTCAATACGACCGTTTTCAATCAAGGGAGGCCACCAGACACCTGAACCTCCAGAGCCATTTCTCGAGGCGCCCCTGAAACCTCCAGACCCCTTTCAAGAGGCGCCCCGGAAACCTCCAGACCCAACCAAAAGTGTCAAGAGGCGCCCCTGAAACCTCCAGACCCATTTCAAAACGCCCGTTTTGGAACAAGAGGCGGCCCTGAGGCCACCAGAGACATTTCAAAACGACCGCATTGAAACAATAGGTGTGGAGCCTTCCAGAAACCGTGCACGTTTGCAACCAATAGGGGCCGTTCTTCCGATGGACGGCGGCAGTGTTCGGGCTCCAAGATGTACAAGAAGCACTTGGGTTTTTTCGGCTGGTTCCTACCGGGTGGACCCAGTCACGCCCGCTCGCGTAGGACAATCATACCTGCTATCCTTTTTTGTTGCGAACTAGACCATGTTCAGGGGTTACGGAAAGCACGTCCCGGACAATAGTTCTCGCCCTAGCACACCAAAAGACAATAAATAGCGACATGGACAACAAAAGGTGGTTTTAGCATGTCGTAGGTTTTTAGCAGGTATAGGGATTCCCAGCATTCAAAACAAAGACTTGTTGCAACCGAGCACAGGGCTGACAGGCCGGCTTCCTTCGTCATGGCTGTGGCTGGTCAATGCTTCTGTCTCCAGAAGAGTTGTTGCCTCTGCTTTCCGCCGACTTTGGTTGATCTGGGGCCAGAAAGCGCCGAGCAATGCTTTTGTTTTCAGCAAAATTGCGAACTTTGCCGAAGAGGAGGGGTGCAAAGAGAGAGACAATCCAAAAGAAAGCGCTCGGCGCCACAATTGCTTCCAGCTGGTGGATTTCGGGAGCAGCCCGGCTCCAAACAGTCTGAGCCACGCGGACCGTGTTTTTGCTTCCAGCAGAGCTGCGCGGATTGTGGGATCTCCCAGATCCTTTCGGACAACTTGGCTGTAGAGTCTGCGGGGGAGGTCAGCTTCGACAGCCGAGGTCGTGTGAAGCGACCTGTTCGGCAGGATGTGGACGATATCAATGAATCTGGAACATCGGCGATCAAAAGAAATTACGCCGGCTATGTTGCCAGCCTTGTGGGCACGACGAGGCCTTCCTGGTCAGCAATGGAAGAAATCGGTCGTTCAAGAGGTGAAACATGGCACTTTTGGGAGATTTACTCTGGCTGTGGCAATTTGACAGCAGCGGTCAAAGATCAGGGAGGGACATGTGGCCCCTCTGTGGAACATTTTGGATCAATCTGGGCCGGGCAACCGCCAAAAGAACGCCACAGGATTGGAAACGCTTGCAGGCAGAGGCTTTAGAACATGCAAACTTCAGTGTGCATGGTCTTCGGCATCAACACTCTTGCGACCGCAAGGGGTCTTTGGAGCAGCCCAAGGGTTCTGGTTCCCTGCGATTGGACGCCGTGTCCGAGTTGAGAGATCTTGGCTTCCGATTGCACACTTACCATTCTTGTGCTTGGGGCTTGAAAGACGAGTACGGCAGAGCCTTGCTCAAACCTGGCGCCATTGGCAGCACGAGCGACCTGACTTGTATGCAGAAGTATTGCGTTTGCAAGAAAGTGATGGGCGCCAATGGTCGGCGAACTCGACGCCACGGCCGTGTGCAAGGCAGTGTCCAGACAGGGCCCGACAAAGGGAAAAAGAGATCCCAGGTTGCAGGCAGATACACCAAATCCTGGTGTGGGGCTTTGGCGAAGGCCATCTTGAAGCACGAGCAAGTTGGGTGAAAATGGATTCGGCTTCGTTGGATGATTGAAAGGTTTGCGAAAACAAAAAAGCATGTTTGTTCTCAAGGAGGAGTTTTCGCAGAGCATGCGTGTTTGTTCCCATTTAGTCGTCCTTTTGGGTTTGATCGGATTGGTGGATGTTCGACAGGACTCGTTTAATGAAGCCCTCGATCCGTCCCATATTTTTACCGCTTCGTGGCCGCTTCGTTTCTTCACCAGCTCGCGCTCGTCTGAGGTTGGCCCTTTCAGCCGGGGCCGGCATCCGGATGCTGAACCATGACGCGGCAAAGGGGCTGCGCGTGGAGCTCTGGACAACCGCATCAAGCGTAAGTTTCTACCAAGTCAGATCGTGTAAGTGCAGAATATTGAGTAGTTTCATACTTTCTTGCAGTCTTACTTTGTGTTCGCCCCGTTACTTCAGATTGGCTTGTGTTTGTCTTCGGTTTGACTTTTAAGCCAGGGACGCCGAACAATGTTGCAGATTGACCGGCCGGGGCGTGCGAAACCAACGCATCACAATGTAAGTACACACAAACATGCACATTTTCAAGTTGCCTGCTTTTTTCCGCTTCCGCTCGTGCTAGGTTCAGTTTTTGTAACATCCCGGAACTGTTGACAGAAGCCTACGCATTATATATATATATATATCTGTATGTTTTACCCTGTTTGTGGCCGCCTCGTTTTTTCAGATCGGCTCATCTTTGTCTCAGGTTTTTCCTCCAGCTGGGGCCGGCGGTCGGGACACCCAACCATAGCGCAGATTGACTGGCGGTACACCGGGGCTGTGGCTCCCCAAAGCGCGTCATGCATATATTTCCAGTTTATGGTAGCTGGTTTATGATAGCTGGTTTTCCTGTTTAATGCATTTCCGAGCACGTATGCGCAGAAACCTGCGTCATTTTTTGTTGATGCTTTATGGCCGCTTCGTTTCTTCGTCAGCCCATGCTTGTTTGAGGTTTGCCCTTTCCGCCGGGGCCAGCAGTTGGGATACTGAACCATGGGTGAACCAACGCTCCAAATGTAAGTCTACACACGGGAGATCATGTAAGTACAGAATACTGAACACTTTCTTTCAGTTTTTGCCATCCCGTGGCTGTTGACCTTCTGAACTTGTGAGGACGGACCCTCTGAACTTGTGAGGACGGAAACCGTGGCACGATATAAATTTACCGTCTTTGTGGTCGCCTCGTTTCTTCAGATCAGCTCGCGTGTGTCTCAGGTTTGTCCTTCCATCCAGCCGGGGCTGGCAGTCGGGACCCCGAACTATGGCGCAGTTTGACTGCGCAGGGGCTGTGCTGTCCCGACTTCTTTTAGTGCCAGCTACTGTTTTAGCATCCTTGTGACGTGTGCGGTCAGTGGGAACTTCGGCTCAGCAGTGACTCACGTCCTCACTTCAACCGCCAATGTCGTTCTACCTCGCTCTCGACCCTTTGACTTCCCAAAACCTGGTGGATATGCCGCGGTTGGGGCCTCTCAGTTTGTCCTCGCAGCCAATGGATGCGGTGTTAGTTCCCTGCTTTCGGAAGGTTTTGTTTCCGGTGGCGTATTGGTGTTGGGAAAGGGGAGACCCAGAGATTTGGGAAGATTTTTGTTTCTGTCGCCACGCTCCTTCTAGGCTTGCCTTCGTCGGACAGCTCGGAAGTTGGGCCATGCAGTTTCGGAGCCTTTGGTGGAGAAAACCGAAGCGCTAGGCAAGAAACGTGGGCATGTGGAGTGCCTGTCTTTTCCAAGCCCAGTGACCCTGTTTTCTTTGGAGCCCAACCAGGTGTTTTGGGAAAAGCTGAACTTGGGCCTCTTAAAGATGCAGGGGGGTGCGATCACACCCATGGTTCCTTGGAGCTTTGAATCGACCCCCACGGATTGCCGGAACGAATTGCGAGTGCCCACTTTGTTCGAAGTCAAGACTACCAGCTACGAGTTTCGGCCAGCCCTTGACAAGCCCGTCCAGTCGCACGACACGGCTGGGAAGGACTTGGTTTTGTTCTTGCCCGTAGAGGCCGAAGAACAACGTGTTAAGGACTACATGTTCAAGCACTGTTCGGAGAGCGGTTTGGAGGCGAGCCACGCCCTTGTTTTTCCGAGCTTGGAGGCGGCGGCTTTGGCAGTGTTTTTCACGACCAAGACCCCCAAGATGACCTTGCGATCCCTACGGATTCCTTTTTCGGAGTTTCAGGACCAAGACCAAGACAGGTGTGAAAAGCAGACGGGTCGCCTTTCTGTGCGCGGCAATTTTGCACAGAAATATGTATACACACGTTCGAACTCTAGTATTTTTATTGGTCCAGTCCTGCTTTAGATTGCAAAGGGGAGGTGTTTTCCGTTCTTGGTGACCGGGTCTCCTCGTGGTTGGGCGGGGCTGGACACCGCAACCTTTGATGGGCTTTTTTGAAACAAAATATGGCCACGAAAGCTTTTTTTGAGTCCTTGCGCGTGGCCATTTTCGTGCAAGTGTCGCAGGAGAAGCAGGTCAATGCCACAAGTCGGGGGGGTTTAGTTCCCTTTTGGACTTTGGCTGGCGACCTTCCCGGCGGACTGGTTCAGGTCGATGTGCAGATGCAGATTGCAATCCTTGGCACTTCTTTCTGCATGGCGCAGCTGCGGAGTAGCAAGAAGATGCGCCAGACGGAAGAGTTGCAGGAGATGGAAAAGAAGATTGCCGACTTGAGTCAAGAGCTGGATTTTTTGCAGACGCGGCGGGACTTGTTGGTGGAAGAGGTCGGCGAGCCCACGGAGACGGAGAGTAACTTGGGAGCCTAGGTGACTGCCATGAGATTGTGGTAGTTGTGATTCTCCTTTTTGAATGGTGCAGCACGTTCACCAATAAATGCGTTGCGAGACTTTTCCGCGCTTTCAAAGCGACTGGGGGGAAAAGGGGCCCAACAATTTGTTACAAGGATTTTTTGCGATGTTGTGGAGTTAGCGAGCAAAGTATAGAAGTTGCGCCTGTTTGCTGAGTAGCGATTTTAAGTGCGCCTTTGACCGAGTTCGTTGGTTCAATGGACAGGGGTAGCTGTCATTTGTGCTAAAGGGGGACAAACATTTTGTTACACCCCGTTTGTTCGCTCATGATGGCCATTCGGCAAAGCTGTGGGCAGGCCTTTTGGGTCTGCTCTCCCTATTTCATGAACAGTCGGCCTTTCACCAGGCCTTCATTCTTTTCGGTCTCTGGCAAAGTCTTGCAACGTGTAATTCTTGTGGCCCACGTGACATTATGTTCAAATATTATTTTCAGATATCAGTGGCCAATCTCGGCGTCACGCAGCTTTTGGCAGCCGAGCAGTTTGCTGTGTGGCTTTCAAGGCCATGCTCGCCGCGCGTGCTGTGGATCCGTGGGCCATAGTACCCAAAACGTTTGACTTCAAGAGCTACACCCCTCAAAAGAGCCAGAGGACGTCGGCCGGCTCGACCGCTGCAAAGTCCGAGGAGAAGGCTGTGCAGAACTTGTTGGCTGAAAGGGTCAAGGAGGCCCTCCCGGGCCGCATCTACCTGTCCGCCTACAGCTGCAATTTCGGAAGCCGTTTGAGCGGAATGCGTTGTGGGCCGGCCTTGGTGGAGTTCACGGAGATCTTCCGGCACAACTTCTTGCGGGCCTCGCTGCCTAGGCTGGTGCTCCCGTGCAACGGGAATGGCACGCTCCCCTTCGTTGCTCCGGACGGCTTGCTTCCGAACCCAGCTGGCCTGTGCATCTCAGCAATTCGGATCCTGGGAGAGGAGTTCAGCCAGATGGAAACGTCAAAGTTGACGCCAGCGCAGCTTGATTTGCTGCAGTGTTACAACGAGGGTTTGGAGGTGGAGTGGTACCCTACGGATAGTTTCATGGGCTGGGTCATCCTGCAGGAGGCTTCGATGCAGCAGTCCGAGCGGAGAACCCAGGCCTGCTTTTTGGAGTTTACGGGATCCGCCGCGTCGCAATGATGGATAGTTTGTCAGTGTCCACCTTAAGGGAAGGTTTTTGTGTCCAGCTGGTCCTTGTTCTTTGTGTATCATGACAAAGTGACGTTTTAAAAAGGATTGTTTGTTTTTTGTGGCTGGCCGCCTTTGGCAGACAGAGGCCTTCGTGGGTGTTGGGCGGTTCGTCGTCGCCAGGTTCATCTGGCCGAGACATGCCTGAACATTTTGTCCCTCCGGGAGAAGATGTCGGAGACCGATGCGGCAGCCCTCTACGGCGAGAAGCTGCGATCTGGAGATTTGGGCGCGAGACGGATTGCCGATTGCAAGTTTGTGCTGGCCAACGTGAGCCCTGAGGCTTTTTGGGGGGGCGGGCCACTCGTGGGAGCACAGCTGGGAGGTAGCAACGAAAGACACGATTTGGGATCTTTTCTTCGTTCAAGCAGAGCAGTACTAATTTTGCATGATTGTGGTTACAAAAAAAGAGCTGGCCACACTCACTGGCCGTGGCCCTGAACTCTGTGGCTGGGCTCTGGTGTCCAGGCCTTGTCCTCCTCCTGTGGCTGGGCTCTGTGTCCGCCCGCCTTTTGTCCTCTGCTAGGCTCTCTGTTCAGGTCTTGCCCTCCTCTTTGGCCACGCCCCTGAACTCTGTGGCTCGTCTGTGGCTGGGCTCTGTGGCTGGGCCTTGTCCTCCTCTTGTTTTTGTGGCTGGTCTCGGTGGCCCGGTTTACTGGAGAGGAGTGCGGCCGAACAAATAGCGATGTCAACGCCGACAAAAACTCATTGACTACTTTTGGTCTTAACAATTCGTTTCGAAGCTGTTTGGGGTTTATGCTTGTAAACTAGTTTTTGCGGGGATGGGGCGACCGTGGTAGACATGTTCGAAACATTTTCGAGACGAGCTTTTCCAGTCTGCGGCGTTGAGCCACGGATTCTTGGCCACGTGTGGGATTGACCGACTGCGCAGAAGGCTCTTGGGGAGCTCGTGGCGTGGCGGCGACGGGCCAAAGTTCATCTTTGCAACGGCTTCAAGGAGAGTTTCCTCACGACTGGGGCCTTTGCAGGTCTTCGAGGAGTTTGTGTGGAGGCCTGACTCGTTGGACGCGTCGGCCCGGTCGTCATTTTGAGGAGCCGCCCGGTGTTCTCGAGCCTTTGAAGCGGGGGGGCTGGGCCTTTTCCTCCTTCTCAGCGCCCAAGGTGCCAGAGGACAAGCACGACGCCCAGACAATTTGCGTGCTCCTTGCGTGCAAGCGGCTCGAGGGAGCCAAGCTGGATCCTTCCGGAAAGATCGTTGGCAGCGCTGTTCTTACGGCGGAGCGCTTCGAAGGGCTTTGCTCTTCAGTCTCGAACGCCATTGAGTACTTCCGAGGCTTGCGCACAACATTCCCGGATGTATACGAGGCAGGCGGAAGGGGCTGATTTTTTGTTTCCCAGTGATCCGTGGCTGTCTCGCGCCCTGCCAAAGTTCTTTTCAAGACGCACGTTTTGAAACAAGAGGCGCATTTGAAACCTCCAGACCCATTTCAAAACGCCCGTTTGGAAGCCAGAGGCGCCCCTGAAGCCTCCAGAATCGTTTCAAGACCGTTTTGAAACAGTCGGCGTTGAGCCTTTTTTTTCAACGTATAGGGCAGTTTAGGGTCATAGTTGTTGTGACCAGCTGTCAAAAATGACTCGTGTTTTTTGGGGGAGTTCTTCGGCTAAAAGGCCTTCCGGTGTAAGTTTCGTCTATTCGCAATTCTTTTCGTCCCCCTTGTTGCCAGGGCGTGCCCGCCGCGACTAAGCTGCTTCGCAGGGTCCTGCTCAGTGGGGATGCCACTATGCTGCCGAAGTTGGCTGACTGGGTTCATTCCAAAGGTCTTGGGCAAGACCTCTCCAAAGGTGGATTGAATGAGTTCTCGAGTGTGGAGCAGTCTCTGCAGAAAGCGCACGATGCAGTGCTCAGGAAAGCTCAAGAAGCGCACCAGAAGGCTCAGCAAGATTTGGTCGAAAGAGCTGCGGCCAAGAAGCGCGAGGAGGAGGCCTGCCTGAAAGCTTTGGCAGAAAGCGACAGGAAAGCTGCGGCCGAGTTGGCTGCGAGACAGGCTGAGGAGGCAGCTGCTTTGGCCCAAAGTCGACGCCAAGAACAGGAGAGACACGCAGCTGCTTTGAGAGAAGCTCGCGTGGCCGCTGAGCTTGATGCTTTTCTCCAGCTCGATGGTAGCCTGGGCACGGCCTCCAAGGACATTTGCCGGATGTGGTGCGTGGGATTTCGTGGAACACGTCGGGGCCCAAAGTTTTTGGCGATGAGCCACAAACTTCGGTTGAAGAAGCTCGCTTCCAACTTGGCCCACATCACCCGTTCGGACGTGCTCATCATCAGCCTCGGGCACGACCCAACAGCTCTTCAGGAAACCAAGCGAGAATTGTGCGAGGCAGCGCCGGCGCTCGAGAAATTCATTTGGCAGTCCTTCCCTACTGCAGTCGTGCAGAACCATGCTGGGGGCCAGTACGCTGAGTTCATTGCCTTGGCCCGTGGGCCTTCTGTGGTGGCCTTCAATTTGCCCCAGGTGCTCTCTGTTGGGGAAGCGTACCCGGAGCCGGCTTTGCGCGCCACAGTTTGTGAGCATTGCTCAGCGAAAGAGGTCAGCCAGGCCTGCCCCAGCCTGAAGTTGGTCGAGCAATTGCGACTTGCGCTGCAATTTTATGTTTTGGTGTTGGGCAGTTTTTGGGCCCGTTTTGGGCACGGTCTCATGCTTGGTTGGTTTGTTTTCGTTGCCGGGCGCGTTTTCTGGAGGATGGCCGGGATAGCAATGGGCATCTTACCCGCCCAAAGACAACAAGACAATGAGCCGCCTCCAATCAGATTATGGCACCCAGCCAGTCGTTAGGGAAGCAACAATTTACACTAACTACAAAAGTTTTTTGGGCTGATGATTCGATCCTCACGTATGGGCTCTGCAACCAACACAGCCTGAGGTCCAGCTCTTCTTTGCAGGTTGCGGCTTCCCCGGCGAAGGCGCAGGAGAAAAACTCGGAAATGGCCAGCCCAAAGAACCTCTTGCAAATGGCGGGCGTGGACACCGCGGCAGATGAAGATGACGGCGGCTCCGATTCGGAGGAAGAGTCCGAAGATCAGGACGGAGCCGACCGCCTTAATAAAACAATTTGCCTGAAAATTGGCCTTGGTTTGGGCTGTGCTTTGTGTGGGCTTGGTGCGAATTGAAAGCGTTTATGTTGTTTCCAGTGGTGACACGGGCGAACCCCAAAGGTATATGAAGGAATTTTTACTTACTGTGCTATACTTCGAACCCCCCACAATTTTACGCAATTGTGGAGGGCGAAGGTATAGAGACAGCCAATTGTCCTGCCCGCAGGACCCCAAGAAAGTTTCGAGTTCCAGCGCAAAATTTTTGCGGAAAACCTGGGCCAACAATGTTGCGCCATGTTTTGTGACCGAGTTACTTGGGTGTTTGCCGCCGGAGTTGGAGTTGAGTTCTTTGGTGGTGCCAGCGCCTGTGGTCTTTTGCACCGGCTTCCTGGGGGGTGTCAAGAAGTACAACGATGATACATCGATGCTGCGAAGTTTGCCCTTGACATTGGCGCTGTGTGTGCCAAAGGCCAAGGCAGAGAAGCACAATTTTGCACTGGCTTTGGCGAGCTTCCATAGCATGTTGTTGGCCAAGGCGGAGAAGCTGGACTTGCCAGCGAAGGGACCTGTGCCCAAAGCCGTGCCCAAGCGTGTCCTCAAGCGTGAGCCCAGCGCCGCCGAGGAAGGGAAGCCAGAAGTGGATGGAGCTCCTTTGATCCAAGTCCCGGACATCGTGGGGAAGGTTGCGGAGGAAGCCCGTGCCGACAGCGAAGAGGAAGACGAGCTTCATCGCTGCGATTCC